CTTTCCAGATTCACTTCTGTTTCTTTTTTTTAGCTTAAAGATAGCAACTTGCCGACAAATTCCTCCTGAACTCTTCCTCTTCCCTATTACTGTTCTCCTTCCTCTGCCTGGATCCTGACAAACCTTTTTTCCTACAGCATAACTCAGCTTCTTTGGTTCTATCCTGTTCCCTTCCTGCTGGCAGCTCAATTCCCCTCTTATTTTGCCACACTCACCAGGAATCATAGATACTTTATATTTTGGCCAGTAAAGAGAAACCTCATTTATTGAGGGCGAGGAAGAAGAAAAATCTTAGTAAGCAAAGACATAATTAATAAGCTTGTTAAGAGAGTATGTGGGGGGGGAGCTATCTCCCTCATCTAGAGGTGAATGGACCAAAGTTAGACATGTTGCATACTTTGTTTGGTAAAGGATCTTTCAAGAATGTGTATCAAAGCCTGGCCACCTGTTCAAGGCATTGGGAGGGTTGAAAGGGGTGTCAAAGGTAGCTAAACAGATGGGCTTCTTGTTGTTTAGAGTCAGGTTCTCCCTATTTTACCTTTGAACTGTAGATCCTACAGTCTCAGCCTTCTGAGTGCTGGGATTACAGGCATGCCTCTCTGTGTACACACATACATGTATGCATATACATGCTCCCACATATACGTGAACACACAGAGGCATACATGTACACACACACACACACACACACACACACACACACACAGAGTTTGACCAGATCATCCAGGGTGGGCAGTGAAAGGGCCAAGATGGACAGGCTTAATTACAGCTGATCCATCTATGGCCCTCCAGTTGATAGGCGTAAGTTAGACTAGAAACCTCTCTCTGATTTCATGGACCACACCATTAGGACCCAGATATAAGTTATCTGGCCAAAATAGAAAGTATCTGGGAAAATACCTCAGTGCACTATGGCTTTTCACTGAGACTCTTGTCTCCAAATCTCAGCACCCATGTCCAGACCCTGGGTATCAGATCACAAACCCACAGGACCTACCAGGGTGAGTGGGGACAAGTGCCTGCCAGAGCTCCCAACCCAAATACAGTGCTCCTTCCCATCTCACAAGTTCAGCTGTAATAATAAGTCCTTCCCCCATCCCCCACCCCCAGGAACAAAACTAGACGTTGAAGGTGATTCTGGTAACTGTGACTAGGAAGCCAGGCACAGATGTCTGCATTGTTGCTCAGAAGCTGTTCTTCCCAGCAACTGTTTGCAGAGCCCTGGGCCTCCTTTACTGCTCTTCTTCAGTGGAGCAGAGCTGAGCTGAATGAATGTTCTGGAAGGAGTGTGCGCTGAGGAACCAAGGAGGTAGAGCGAGCTGTCAAAGGGCCATCCCCCACACCATATGTTTCCTCATGATCTTTTTGGAGTCTCAGATTTCTGGATCAACAGCTTGGCAGCTTTTATGTGGAAGTTTCGGTGCAGGGTCTGTTTTGTCTCCCAGATTAGAAGTAAAAGCCAAGCTGCATTTCCCGCCGATCTTCCCACTGGGATGCCATCCAGACCACCTGAGTGGGGGAATGTTGATACACTCTCAATAAATATGTATTGAATCTTGAATAAAGTAAAGTCACCTTCTGAAACCTACTCAGAAATGGTGAATGATAGAGAGAAGTGAGAATAAACACCTCTTTCTCCCCCAGGAGATTGATTCCCTTATCATATTAGAAATAGACATGCAAATTAGCATGTGCTCAGAGTGGAGTGGAAAATCCATTCGTTCACTTACACAATTGAACAAACTCCATGGCTTTTTTTTTTCTGTCCTTGGGTTATATTCTTTTAGAGATTTAAAAATAACTGAACTCAAATTGAAATCTGGGTCAGGCATAGTGCCTCACACCTACAAACCTAACTAACCACCTGCAAGTGAAGATTGGGAGGATCTGGGTGTAAGGCCAGCCAGGGCAAAAAAAAGTATGTGAGACAGTATCTCAACCAATCATAACTGGGCAGATTTGCATTGGCATGCTATCCTGGCTAGGCAAGAAGTGCAAATAGGAGGATTGCAGTCCAGCTGGCCTTAATTTGAGACTATTTGAAACAACAAAAAAAAAAAAGGATGAAAGCAGAATGAGCTGGGCATGTGGCTCAAGTGGCAGAGCACCTGCTTATTAAGGCCCTTAGTTCAAACTTTATAAAGACAGGAAAGGTTAGTGACAGAGGCAAGGAACAGGATGTTCAGGTCCATATTTGCAGGAACAGAGGTTTGTTCGCTGTAGTTCCTGGTGGGGAAGAGTGCAGAGATGAGGCCATGACAGCAGACAAAGGAGACCCAGGAAAGTCTTCTTAGACTTTGCTGGAGGACTCACCCCTACCCCTAGGCTGGAGGCTGAAAACCTGTGAAGATACCTGATGTGAGTGAAAAGTATGAAACACTATGGTTTGATATTTGGAGGAATGGGACTGTAGGCATTCTAGGGGTTGGCAAGGGCCTGTTTTTGTGGCCATTGTCACTACAAATGGTAGAAATTAGTGACACATGCCAAGGGCTAGAAAGGGGCTGGCGAATAAGAAAGAATCAAGAACTCTGCAAACTAGCAATTCTGGGTCGGAGCCTCTAAGAAGCTCCCTGAGCCCCAGGGAGGACTCATTACTCCTAGCTTACCTTGCCAATTAACAGTTGGCCTGCCCAGTGGCGTGTGAGACTCCAGACGTGCATCTCCCGTGTGAGTCAGCTTAGGCTGCTGTAACACATGACTGTGGACTGGGTGGCTTGAACACAGCTTCTCACAGTTCTTAGGCTGAGCAATCCAAGATCCAGATGAAGGGATAAGACCTTCTGTTTCCCATTGCCACCTGGCCATCCCTGCATCCTGTATCTTTGAGCTAAAACCTCAAATCTGAGAGTAGTTGTGTGCTGTCCCACCAGGACCTGGGGCGGGGACTGCTAAGGACCCTGAGCAGCTTCAGGACTGTGGTACTGAAGCAGAACCTACCTCCCTTCTCCAAAACCCAGAGGTGATGACAGATGGTGCAGGGGTTGAAAGCTGGCCCTTCCGTCTCATGGCCAGGTCCACTCATGGCTGCAATTCTTGCTCCAGATCTCCAGTGGGAAGGCTGAAGCTCTGACTCCAGCTGTGAGCATATCCCCTGCCTTCTCTTCCTCCCACACTACCCTTGTCTGATTATCCCTGGGTAAGCTAGGAGTAATGAGTCCTCCCTGGGGCTCAGGAAGCTTTTTAGAAGCTCTGACCCAGAATTGCTAGTTTGCAGAGTTCTTGATTCTTTCTTATTCACTGTTCCTGGGCTCTGTGCTCTGGAGCTCTCAGGGTGACTCTTGCTGGGGGCCAGGCTCCCCGGGGATGAGAAGGAGACCCAGATTCCTGCTAGAACAAAAGAGGACCTCAAGCAATGCTCATTCAGGACACAGACCAGCCTCCACTTAAATTCCTCAGGCTGAAGTTTTTACCTTCTCTGTACCTGTTCTGTCTCTCAGGCTGGCATTTGTACCTTGCCTGTCACCTGTTCTGCCCTGAAAAGTGGCTACTCTGGGCTTGCCCTGTTGGTCTGCTCTCATTCACCTGTGGCTCAGGTGGCAGGGACCATGGCTGAAGGATTCTTCAATCTCCAGAGCTCAGCACTGGCTCTGCACACAAGAGATGTTCCAGAGACACAGGAATGGCCACACTTTCTGGAAATAAGAGATGGATACATCCACAATCAGCAAGTGAAACAGCAAATGGCTGAAATGCAGGGTCCTGCAGGGAGCCAACAATGCGTGGTCTGTTAAAATTCAAGAAGGAGCTGGTAATGACCAAGTGCCACAGTGTGCTAGACCAGGTGCTGTCTACATCCCACAGCCTCTCCTGGGTTTCCTACAGCCTTTCTTCGGATAGATTGCTATCTCCATTGCTGATCAGGTCAAGCCATGAAAACCATACAGTGCAAGTGAGTGGGGGAAACCAACTTCTGAACTCTTGTCTGGTTGACTTAAGGCATTCTCAATCAATTGGTTTTAAATAAGAGCTGGAAGTTGGCTTTTCTAGGCATCTGGATTTTCCCCAACCATGTAAGGAAGGACCTGGCTGGCAGCCCACGGGAGCTAGACTGACTGGCAACTGGACAGAGATGGATGAAGTCTCGTGAGACGAATCTTTTCTTTGATTGGGAGATGGCAAAATCAGGGTGTTGCAGGGTTGCAGAGAGGAACAGAGATAGGGCTGTGGGGTAGATTGTCTGGGCAACAGAGACGCCAGATCTGAGGCCTATTCCCACAGACCACAGCCTCTGGGCAGCAAGGACCCTGGGCTGGGAGTCATGGTGGACCTTCCTTTTTCATCAACAGGGGAGGGGCCTAGCTATACAGGATACCTGTCTAGATTTCCTCCAGCTCTGATTCTCCATCCGTGAAAGGCCTGGCGTCGTCTAGCCTTGCTCACTCCCCTCTGTGTGAATCCTGGACTGCCGACCAGCCCAGACCTTCAGTCCAGACAAGGCGACAGAGCCTGACTTTCCCAGCCCTGAAAATAGTGGACAGTCTATTCTCTGGGCTCCGCTCAGCAGGAACACTGACAAGGGCTGGAGACTTTGGCTCCAGGCCTTCTCAAGTGGCTGCACAAAGGGCCTCTCTTTTCTCTCACAGACATAGTGACAACTAGTGTGGCTCCCTCTGGCTGGAAGAGCTCTCGCCGACAAGGTTCCCATGCCTGAACTCTTAAGAAAATTGCAGGCAAAGAATATAATGAGCACAGGCTTTTTGGCTGTGCCTCTTGACTTGAGGCCAGATGGCCAGTGGGCCCAAAATTACATCACTTAGTGACTATCCGAGTCATTTCAGTTTGACCTTCTTGGAAGAATAGTTACCTTGACAACAGATCATGATCAATTCCTTAATAATTTGTGCTCAGGAGCAATTCCCTTCATGATGAAAACCAGTGACTTCGGAGCTCCTTCTGGCTGGCCCTACCCTACTCTCCATCCCACAGTTTATAGTCAGCCAGCCAGCTTGATCCATTGAATAGCAAGATCCAGGCAAATGTTGCCAAGATTTCCTATGCCCACAGTGGCCTGAGCTGAGACTCTGGGAGATGTGCATGTCATCTACCAAAGGCTTCCCAGCCTCCATCTGCCAGAACACATGGTAGGTGACAGTAGGCTACCCAGGCAGCTGACTTGTTCCTAACACCTTCCTTCTCCCTTCCTCTTTCCCACAGCTGCTGCTTGACTCATAAGGCTTGACATTCATCACCCTCTAGGCTTTGGGATGGACTATGCCAGAAACATCTAGAAAGAAATCCTAGAGGACTCACCATAAACTGCTACCAATGGAGATAAACCTATGCTTAAGTTGAAAGTATCCTAAGCCAAAAGTGCACTTGGGCTGCAAAACACTGTTACTTAGCATCACATCGATCCTGTAGGTGATTGATTCTTTCCCCTTCCAGAACCTGTGGCTCACTGGGAGGAGTAGCCTGGGGAAAGACCAAAATTCAAAACCCTTAGTATGATTTCCATTGAGTGCAGAGAGCTTTTGTTCCATCACCAAGTGGGAAAACTGCTTAGTGAAATCACATTTGGGGTGGCCTCTGTAGTCAGTGGGGATGTGAAGTTGCTGGAAGTGGGAGAAGCATTAAACTTTGGAAAAAGCTAGAGGGTTTTAGCGGTCTTGGTTTAAGCCCCATAGCCAGTAAGCCGTGAAGATGGGAAGCGAGCCCATGTCTGTGCCTCACTACCAGGGTGGAGGCAGAAGCTGGAGTTCGACCATCAAGATCTGGCCCTTCCCAACAGGATCCGAGAAGACAATGGTGACACTCAATGCAGAGCACCTGACCTGTGCCTTTGATTGCAGGGGTGACCCAACTGCTGACATTCAGGGTCTGAGGTCTTCTGACTTGTCTAAGCTCAGCCGAGGGGCAGAACTGTCCTCCCCTGCCTGATGTTTGAATTTGGACTTCAGGGTGGACAAGTTTCTGACTCAACCTGTCTCCCAGTCTTCTTGCAGTAGCACGAAACCCATCCATGCTGGCTTCCCAACCTCATTTCCCTTTGACCAACAGCAACTTTCATGCAATCTCCTAAGTCTGAGAAGAGAATTAATTATTGGCCATTGATTATTACTTTTTTGAGGGGGAGGGAGCTATACTTACACACATAATCTCATTATTCTAATTTACCAAAACCCTACAACTACTACTAAAGTCCATTTTACAGATCAGAACAATGAGGTTCAGCAGGGAGACTTTAGGTTAATAAGTTGTACTTAGTTGCACTTTCATGGTTTTAGCAGACACTGACATTTTTCTTGGAGAGGAATGATCTTTACTTGCTAACATACTTCACCCTCCCTCCACCCAACAACTCCCCTGTCCTAAGTCATGGGGCTTGAACTCAGGGCTTGGGTGCTGTCCCTGAACTGTTCTGCTCAAGGCTAGTGCTAACACTTTAAGCTGCAGTTTTCTGGTAGTTATTTGGAGATAGGAGTTTAAGAGACTTTCCTGCCCAGGCTGGCTTTGAACTGTCATCCTCAGATCTCAGCCTCCTGAGCTAGGGTTACAGGTGTGAGCCAAGGGCACCCAGCTCGCGAGGATACTTTTATAGAGGTAACCCTGAGAAGATGGGCTGTCTTGTTGGCTAAGCCTTGGGACATGAGAGAAGCATGCCACAAGAGAAGTGGAATGAGGAGTAGGTTGCATTTGCAAGGAGGCCTGTGTCACACACACTGGGGACATGGGTGAGCAGTTATCTGCTCCAGCTAACAGCCAGAGCAATTATTGATGGACAGGAAGTGAATAAAAAGTGAGGAAACTCAGCCACAAGAATGCAATTTTTGCCTGGCACCATTGGCTCACACCTGTAATCCTAGCTACTCAGGAAGGTTGAGATCTGAAGATTGTGATTCAAAGCCAGCCTGGGCAGAAGAGTCCATGAGATTCTTATCTCCAATTAACCAGCAAAAAGCAGGAAGTGGAGATGGTAGAGCACTAGCCTTGAGTGAAAAAAAGCCAATGAAGAGCACAAGGCCCTGAGTTCAAGCCCAGGTGCAGACCCACACACAGAGAATGGCAATTATAGTAGAAGAGCTCAGAGTTCTACTTAGCTTCATGACCCATTGTTAACATACTGTTCAAGTGTAGAAATAGAGATTTGGTACAACAGTTGCATTGTCTTGAGCATTTGAAGTAATCTAGGGATGACTTAAAGTGTTTCGGAGAATGCACCTATGTGATGTACAAATACTACACCAGTTTATATATAGAACTTGACCAGTCATTGGCAGATTTTGGTGTCTTCAGGGTTAACTGTGGCTAATTTTGCTATGGACACCCATGGATGACCCTTCCTTCCTTCCTTCCTTCCTTCCTTCCTTCCTTCCTTCCTTCCTTCCTTCCTTCCTCCTTTCTTTCCTTCTTCTCTCTGTCTCTGTCTCTCTTTCTTTCTGTGTTGAGACTTACACTCAGGGTCTTGCTCTTTCTTAGCTTTTGGACTCAAAGCTGGTGCTCTACCATTTGAGCCATATCCCAGCTTCCAGCTTTTTGTGGTTGAATTGGAGATAAGAGTTTCTTGGATTTGTCTGCCCAGGCTGGCTTTGAACTGGGATCCTCAAACTAAGTAGCTAGAAGTACAGGTGTGAGTCACCCATGCCTGGTGACTATGCCTGATGACTGTGTGCTGTTTACAATGAAAAACTAAGCTTTCCTGGTCCAGAAAGGGTCACTCAGAAATCCAGAGCTACACAGTATGATCTGTATCTTTCTGAGACACATGGGAGAACTGGAAGGGGCACTTCAGGCCTGGACAAGAAGAAGCTGGAAGGTGGCTTCTAGTTCCAGAGAAATAAGGACTGTGTAACAGGGCAAGAGACAGAGGCAAGAAGAGATAGGTCCTCATGGCTTCTTTGGGACTGGCATGGCTGATGACATCTGACAGTGATGGTTTTTGGTCTTCCTGTCTTGCAGTCTTCTCATGTCACCTTGAGGCTCCAGAAAAGTTGGTGGTCCAGCTATCTTGTTTGAATGAATGAAGAAAAGTCCCAGGACAAGTTCTGGACAAAGCTAGTCTGGAAGAGAAGCTTGTGATCTCCACAGATAGGCCTGGGATGAGTGGAGGAGCCTGGAGCAGCCAGGCAGACAGAGTGACAAGCAAATCCATGGCCAGGTTTCCATGTTCCCTGTTGGCTTTCCCACCCATCCTCCCACAGCCACAACTCCTCATCCCTCTACACTTTCTACTCTCCTTAAGAAGGAAGGCATAGTCGGGTGCTGTGGCTCACACCCGTAATCCTAGCTACTAGGAGGCTAAGATCTGAGGATTATGATTTGATGCCAGACAAATCTGAGAAACTTGTCTTTAATTAACTAGCAAAAAGCCAGAAGTGGGAACATAGCTCAAGTGGTAAAGCTCTTGTCTTAAGTCCTGAGTTCAAAGTCCTGGCACACACACACACACACACCAGACATATTAGACCTGAAAATAACTTGGACAATCTAGAGAAGCAACCCTCTACCCCATTCCTCTCTCATATCCTCCCATTTAATTTGCTCTCCAGTTTCCTTCCAGCTGAAGCAACCCAAAAATCTCTGCTGGTTTTGCAAGAATAAAATAGTTGTGGCTGAAATAAATCTCTTGCTCAACTTTTCAGATTTAGAGATTTTTTTTTCTGCCACACCGCTGTTCTAATGCCAAGAATTCATACCCCAGAGCCCTTCCTCTCATCATTGAAGATTTTCAAGAAGATAATTTATAGCTTCAGTACTAGTTGCCAGATTGACAGCTTTAAAAACAAGAGGTGAAATGCAATCTGGATGGAGCTGTACCCACTGTCTATTTTTAGGGCAAAGATTATTCACCCATACGGGTGGTTGGGATCTGAGCATTGCTGGGGGTGGGGGGGTAGGGGTGGGGTGAGATCTAAATGCCATGCTTGCGGTGGTGGTGGGGAGTTGTAAAAGAGAAGGAACTTGTTCTCAAGTTAGAAGGGTGTCCCTAAACTCATTGGATATTTTACAGAAGGTTAAAAATAATCCTTCCTTCCAAAAATAGCCCTTTTGAAACCAGATGCCTGGACTGGGTTGCAGTTACTAAAGCACGTAACAATGGTACCAACCCCAAGATGGTTCTTTACAGACCTTTGCTGATACACTCCTGCTCCCGCCCCGCGAAGCTGGAGTTTCCACTTCCACATGAGAAGTTTAGGAGGCAGAATTGAAAGCCATCACACTCTGTGGATTCTATTTTCTTCAGGGCACCAAGTCCCAGAGCACCCAGGTATCAGAATGCATGTGCACTGCAGGGTCCACCTGAGGCCAGCAGAGGCCTCAGGTGGGGCAGAAGCCTGGGGGAGGGCAAAAGGAGGCCGCTGGACTAAGGCTCTGGAGGTGAGTTCATGCACAGCCCTGTGCTGCTCTAAGTACAGAGAGGCCCGTCCTTCCAAAAGTACATGGGGACAGCCACTGAAGGGCCTTCAGAGTTGGGCCCTAAGTGTCTTCCAGCTTCCTTGGACTTCATGGAGTCCCTGGGTCTAGCCATCATGGGGTCCCTCCATCTAGCTAGCTCCCCTGTGGTCCCAAAGCTTTCTTCTCAGCTGGGAAGTTCTCTCCCTCTCCTTCCACTTGATGAAGCATTCCAAATTCTCTCTTCTACCATTGTGAAATATGCAGTGCATTATTGTCGACTCTAGTTTCCATACAGGGCAGAGGACCACCAGGACTTCCCCTCCATGCTCACTCTAAATTAACACTGGTTAACCTAGCTCTTCCCATCCTCCTCACCCTCTGGTAACCAGTACCCTCCTCTTCTCCTATGAATGGACTTCCTTCGATTCTGGATAAGGAACATCCTTCAGTGTCTGTCTGGGCTTAGTTTATGTCCTCCAGTCTCCTCCACACTGTTGCAAAGCACAGAATCCCATCCTTTTTGATGACATGATCTTGATTCTACCGGCTATTGTGAATTGTGCTGTGATTAGCCTAAGAGTGCATATACCTCTTTAGTTCACGATTTTATTTTTAAAAAATTTTCTGTTTTTCCTCCTCCCTTCTCCTTCTTCTCCTCCTGCTCCTTCTTTTGTGGAGCACTATTGGGGTTTGAACTAGGGACCTCTCACTTGCTAGGTAGGTGCTCTACCAATTGAGTCACATCTCTACTTCCAACTCTTTCTGCTTTGTTTTTTTTTTTTTATTTCAGATAGTGTCCTCAATTTTTGCCTAGGCCTGGCCTTGGGACCAAGATCCTCCTATCTGCACCTACCAAGTAGCTGGAATTACAAATATATACAACCAGGCCCACCTAATATATTGATGAGGTCTTGATAACTTTTGCTCAGGCTGGCCTTGAATCACTATCTTCATGATTTCTGTCTCCCAAGTAACTGGGATTAGAGGTGTCTCCCACCACACGTATCCCTAATTTTATTTCCTATACCTGTGCACACGCATGCACACACTTCTACATATATGGGTAATCACAACATATCTGGATCCTAGTGTAGCTGTATTTCTAATTTTTTGAAAAATTCTAATGACTGCACTAGTTTACATCTCACCCACAGTGTATGAGTGTTCCCTTTTCCCACAGCCACACCAGAACCCAATACTTTTTATCTTTTTAATCAGCCATTCTAACAAATGAGGAGATAAGTCATTGTAGTTTTGATTTTCATGTCTTTAGTGTAATGGGATTTCACACAGGCATTGCCAGATTTGGCTTATTGATAGAGAGGGGATCTTGCTAACTTCCCCCCCAACTCCCCAGGTTGTCTACAAATGCCACCTTTCCCATCTCTGCCTCCTGAATAGATAGGACAGGTATGAGCTACCACACCCAGCTCCCAATTTCCTGATTCTTTTGCTCAACTATGTTCCCGAGACATGGAAAAACAGCTCGGCTAAGACAAAAATTTCTAAGCCAAAGAAGAAAAAGAGGAGGAAATACAGAGCAATTAAAGTTTTAATTTTTCATGATCCATGTCACTATGAATGTAAATGACTAATAGGTGATATAAAATATTCATCAAGTCAGTAATCCAGGACTACATTGGATGCCAAATTGCTCCCTGTCATCTTTGGAAAAGCCATCTGCCAGCAATTTTGACAAACAAATGCTGGTTTCTGAGTGTCCCACGAGGGAGTGAAGCCATCTGGGAGGGAGACTATGGTTCTTGTAAGGCCCTGTCTCTGTCTCACAGGGACTGGAAAGTACCAGCAGACCCAAAGGCAGGACGGGAAGGAAAACACAGGAGGACATGGGTGGACCTGCAGGACCTCATCAGTCTGTTGCTGATGGAGTGTTCCCTTGCCAGAGGCTGACCACTCGGCTTGCTCTTCCTCAGAACCCAACTCTGAGAGCACATGAGATGCACACTGGAGGCCTTGCAGGGCCCAACGCGCCTCATTGCACCTGTTCTCCTACAAAACAAGTCATGGGCCCTGCCACAGGACGTGTGGGTCTGAGACAGACTGCAGAGGCCCGAGCAGGCTCTGGAGAGGGGGCGAAGTAGAGAGGATGTGGCTTCCCACGATGAGGCTGGCAGATGGGAAAACGGTGGGCTCATCCTGGGACTCTGGTCCCAGTCAGAGCTGCCTGGACCAGCTGGAATCCCAGGAGGAGTTTGATCCCTGGGAGCTGGAAGAGACAGGAATAGAACTTGCCCCTCCCCCTCCATCACCAATTGTGTAGTGCCACGGGTGAGATGGTCCCCAGATGGCTGCATCCTGGATGATCTTCCCAGGCAGCAGAGAGCCATCTCAGCCATTTGTGTTGCTGTAACTAAACACCGGAGGTGTGTTTGGCTGAGGGTCCAAACAGCTTGGGGCTGGTGCCTTGGTAAGGGCACACTGAAGAAAGGCTGTGGGGTGGCCGGCTTTGTGTCAGCCAGTCTCTGCAGAGCTCACTCACTCCTCTGAGACCTGGCCCACACCACTGTGACTTGGTGCCTCCAGGATCTGGTCAACCTTCAGCCGGCTCTACTTCTCAAGGGTTCCATGACCTCAACTCACCACACGGGGCCCCAAAGGGATGAACTGTATCTAACACCCAAGTCCAGTCTTTAGCGGTAGCATCCTCAAATCAAGGGCGCAGTCATCAGTCCTGGTGCTCTGTGCTTCTGGTGAAACAAAAATGTCATCCACCTTTGAACATCCTCTGTCAGTTGGGGTCCAGATTGTGTGTTCCTACTGTGGCAGGTTTATGGTGGGTTATAGGGGAAAATAAAAAGCTCAGACCAGAAACTGGCCCTTGGGTAGTGCTTCCACTGCCTTCTGTGCCCCCCCCCCCGACTCCCCAGCAGTGGCTCTTAGCCAGGGTGATGGTCACCTAGCCCCCAGGGGCAGCAGATGACACTGGAGACTTTTTGGTTTCCACACTGGGTGCTATTGGTACCCAGCAGGGATTGGCTGGTTATGCAGGTAAATCCTGCTGTGCCAAGGCAGCCCTCCACAAGAAGGAACGGGCCAGGCAAAACCAGCAGTGTGTCTGCTATTTCTCTTTGCACTGTGACCATGTACCTGACAGGGGAAGAAGAATTTATTTTGCTCCTAATTTCAGATGGTTCCATCCCTGGCCCCTTGGCCCCGTGGCCCCTTGGCCTTTATACAGAACATGGTGGCAGAAGCATGAGGTGGAGGAAAATGTTCACCTCATGGTGGACAGGAAGCAGAGAGAGAAAGAAAGGAAGAAGAACAAGGAGGAGGAGGAGGAGGAAGGAAGGAAGGGGAGATGGAAGGAAGGAAGGAAGGAAGGAAGGAAGGAAGGAAGGAAGGAAGGAAGGAAGGAAGGGAGGGAGGGAGGGAGGGAGGGAGGGAGGGACAGATATAATTTTCAGAGATATGTGCTCCATGACCTACTTCCTCTAGCTAACCCCTACCTCCTAAAGTTTCTAGAACCATCCACAGTAGCACCACTGTCTGGAGACCAAGCATATGAGCTTGTGGAAGATGTCTCATAGACAAAACATGATGATCAGTGGTGTGCCTTTACTTCCTCTTTGCTGTGACCCAGACCCTTACAAGACAGGAGCCAGGACCAGCACAAACACCGCAACAGAGACACCAAGCAAAAATGATGACAACCCCGGACGACTTTTGAACCAGTTGTGAAGTGTTGCAGCATGGAACAGCATGTCCCGCTGCCCAGTGTGTGAGGGAGGTGCCAGAAACCACAATTATCCTGGCACAACAAGCATCTCTGCAAAGGGGTGCTGCCAGAGCCCCGGGGACAATAGTGGCCTGCCACATAGCACACCATGCCCCTCACCACTCTCATTTCACTGCCATTAGGCCCAGAAGAGAAGAAATAATGACCCTCCCCTTAGAACTGTATCTTTCTATTTTTCCTTCCCATAGTATATCTTCTTAGTTTTATCTTTATATATAGACACACACACACACACACACACACACACACACACACACACACACACACACACACACACACACACATACACAGAGGAAGGAACAAGGACTCTCTTCTTTGTGCTGGAGCTGGCTACTTTGGAAGACACTTCTTTTTTTTTTTTCTTTCGGTAGTGCTGGGATTTGAAGGCAGGGCCTTGTGCTTGCTAGGTAGGCACTTTACCACTGTAGTAACATCCTCAGCCATTGGGAAACACTTGTGATTCTCTACTAAAGTGTCCATTCTACTTAGTGTCGGCAGTGATGGAAGCACAGATTTGCTGTTGTTATAAAGACACTTCCACACCAGTATCCTATTTTATTAAGTTACAGGTTTTCCTCTTAGGTAACAGCCCAGAGAGGTGTTCTAGACCCAACAGGTAACTCCATATCCAGCAATGAAACTCCTTAGCACCTCCATTACCTTCATAGGCTCTTGGAATTTGTGTCATCACTCAATGATGATGTCTTGAACGTGAGATGGATTGGGGTATGACTGGATACTGATCAAACAGTGGACTAAACCCTTGAACCCAGTAGATTGTGTGTGAACCAAGTTGGTAACAACTGTCTAGGGTTCTCCCTCAGTTGGTGGTCGTTGGAGGGTGACCATGGTGGTAAACTGAGGATCTAATTTGTATCATGCAGGAATTTGAAAGCCAAACACCAATGGCTCACACCTATAATCCTAGCTACTAAAGAGCCCAAGATCTGAGGATTGAGGTTCGAAGCCAGCTTGGCAGACAAATCTGAAAGACCCTTAGCTCTAGTCAACCAAGAAAAAAGCCAGAAGCGGAGGTGCGGCTCAAGTGGTAGAGTACCAGCTGTGACCAAAAAATGTTGTGCAAGCGTGCAAGGCCTGGAATTCAAGCCCCAGTGTGGGCAAAATAATAATAGTAATAATAAATAAATTAATTAATTAAAGGAACTTGAGCCCTCAGGCAGTTGGGTAGAACTGTGCTGAAGCCTTTCTCCCTGACTCCCTGTCATCCTCAGGCTCTAGTTTTCTGTGTTGCTCCTTGGACTATTCTGGAAGAGGACTCGGAGGAGGGGTAGCTGAAGGAGGAGGCTCTGCTGCTTTATTAAAAGCTGTTCCTTAAAGACAGGCTTGGGGAAAGATGACAGGCGGTGGGGGTCTGCCATAGGCAACAGGTCCTTCCCTGTTGTGGAGCCTTCCAGCTCACGAGCAGACAGTTGGTCATACTGCCTGCTACTGGTCCTGACCCAGGTCCTGGTTCCTTTCCTCTGTGTCACCCTGGGTACCCTCTGTCCATCTTTCTGGTTCCCTTGTGCTGGGGACTGGCTCCATGCAAGACCTCAGTTCTT